AGTGGTCAGAACGGCACAGTACACTTGACCTTCTGATGGCAGAGTTCTAGAAAGCGGGTAGGCTACGCCTCTGAGCAAGTGACTCAAACCATCACCTACAGATACCTCCCACTAAAGGAAAGTGCTGAGGGTTAAATGAATCTGTCTACAGAAAGCCCCAACTGAGCCTGACACAAAGCAAGCACCCATTATTCGCTCAACAACTCAACAAAAGCATGAATGTCACATAACAGGATAGAAAGGACTCATTCTTAGAGGACATGGCATTTCTGATTCACAAGGGCCTTTAAAATGCAAATCTGCCTGAGGTGGGGGCAAAGTCACAGCCAGATGAACAGAGGAGGAGGAGGAATGCTGGCAGGTGTTCAGGGTGCCACGGACCTCCCATCCACAGGAGCAGTTCCTCCAACCTTCTCCCATGAATGGTACTCAATACATGACTTTCTGAACCTCAGGGTCCTGAACCTGAACCCTTGCACATCATCCCAAAATAAAGGAAATCAAACCCAGGCCAGGGAGGGAGCTGGCACCTGGCCTCAGTTTCCTTCTGCTCTCCTGCTTCTGTTTGTTCTCAGCTTTTGTCTCGGCAGCACATGTTGCCTTGGCCTTGGCTGCCACAGCTGTCACAGTCATTTTCTTCATTTTGCCAACATCCACTCTCTGGGCACACCCCTATGCCCTGCCACACGTCTTTGGGAACACCATGGATTTCCTTCATTGCTTCTGAAAGGCGTCTAACACACTGCCTCACATCAACTGTGCACTTAATAAAACATCAACTGATGAAGATGGTACACAAAGGTACTGAAAGGTGCCCTACAGAAGGCTGTAGAGTGCAACACACAGCTCACCCTTCCTCCTCCAACATACATGCTGCTTCTCACCTGGGAGAACTCAGCACACCCCCGCATGGCTGCCAGCCCTTGAAAGGTGAACTTCAAAATACCCAGTGGAGAACAAAGTCAATACCACCTATGTCATCAATCTTAAAGACTCCAAATGGTGTCCTAGCTTGAAATAATTAAACAGGGAAAGGCAAAACTTTCAGTCTCCAAATTCTTATCTTAGCAATAAGAAAAAAAACCACCAATACTGACTTTTGCACTTGCCCAGGAGCGCTGTGAAAAATCCATAAACAATTCATAATGCCTGGTGGAAAACTCCACCTGCTCTGTCCTTGGTGGTCACTCCTGGGTCAAGGGCTGGTACCTCTGCCCAGCACTGCCCTCCATTCCACCCAAGGATGCAGGGCTCCTTTGTTCCCTTTTTATACCATGGCCTAAACTAGTTCACTTCCCTGTGGGGAAGGGCTGAGCACAGAAGTCATGTGGAATGTGTGTTCCCACAGAGCTCAGAAATGTGATGATCTCAGAGGATACTGTAAAGCAGACCCCTGATGCTTCCCTGAGGAAGACTCCTCTGCAAAAGGCTACTGCGCAGACAAGGAGCATATGCTGGGAAAATTCATAGCCAGCTGCTGCCTGTGTTTCCAATTCTGACACCACCCTTCCTTTTCACTTTGCAGCCCTTCCCTCCTTATGTCTCCCCTAGACACTCAGGCACTGGCTCTCAGATGAAGAGCAAAGGGCACTGTTCTGTTCAAGGCTGTAAAACAAACAGAACTGAGATGAATTTCAGTAAATGCAAAATGCTTGAACACTATGTAAGATCAACTTCCATTCTACTCCTTTTAACTGTGTGGAAAAAGAGAACTTATTTTTAAATGCTGGCAACCTAACTTTTTAAAAATAAAGTTCATTCACTTCAAACTTATTCAAGCCAGGCATGGTGGTGCATACCTATAATCCCAGCACTCAGGCCATCCTGTGCTAAATAAGCAGAACCTGTCTCAAAAATAAACAAGCAGTCTAGAGGCAAAGCTCAAGTGGTAAAGCGCCTGCTTAGCAAGTATGAGAGGCCTGGAGTTCAGTTCAAACTCCAGTACTGCCAAAAAAAAAAAAAAACGAAAAAGCATAAGGATCATGGTTCAAGGCCAGTCTGGGCGAATAGGACAGGAGAGTCCATTTCCAAATTAACCAGAACAAAATGGACTGGAGGTGTGGCACAAGTGGTACAGAACCTGCTTTACTAATAAGAAGCAGAGTTCAAACCCCATTCCCACAAAAAAAAGGCCAGACTCTCGTCTGGCTTTGTTAAAAATAAATATACAAGCAAAAAAAGTGCTTTGAACAATAGTTTTAAGAGTTGTGATGTCACTAATCTGGCCTTCCAAACCTATCTCCCAGTGGCTTTTAGGCCATCAATTATAGTACACATGAAAATGATTTGAAATCTACAAAGAGTTAATCAGCCACATATTCACATTGTTGTTATTCCTATTATTAAAAGATCTTTACAGAATACACCTAAAGAGTACCCATTTTGGAATCAAGATTTCAAGTTCTATCTCCACCACTATTACCTCAAGGACAGTATCAGAGGCACTGGACTTAACTCCTGAAATGAAGATAACACCCTCATAATCCACCATTAGTATAATCATGTATGTAGAAAGGTTAGCACCTAATAAATACTCACTAAATGGTAACTATAATTATTCTTAGCCAAATGTCCAGCTACTGAAAACAGTGGAACTGAGGTGGAAGAGAGAACTCCCCCACAGGAGGACCAATACTAAAAACGCTGCTACAACAAGCTGAGGACACTGAGGTTCCCTTCTTAGCCAAACACCCCACTACCTCCCCCAAGGATGCAAGACCATCCCTGTGCTTTGCATAGTATGCAGCCCACGGGGAAGTCAGTCTCCAACTCCAGGCTTGACAAAGTGGTGATTCATCCCTGGAGGGGTGCAGCCCTTGGTCAGCCTTATCACACACAATCAGGCATCCATTGGGACTGCCAGAGGCCAGAAATCAGCTGTTTAAGGATTCCCCTATCAGCAGCAGAAAGTTCTTACCCTGGGCATTTTGTTAAACCACAGACCCATGAGCACCGGACTAAGCTGAATTTTACCCACAACTCACAGTGTAGATGTGACAATGGTAAGACAACAGAAACAAAAGAGTCCCTCTGTCAGCTGCCTGTAGCACAGTGTTTTGCCAGGCAGTGTGTTAGCTATAATGACAAACAGCTTGATGGTTGGACACCAGCCCACTTCCACTTCACATCATAATGGCTCCTGAGGACAAGTCCCATGCTTTTCAGTCTGGCCTGAAAGTCTGACCACATCCCCCACCAAAAAAGACAAACCCTCAGCAGTGTCTTGTGCAGCTCTTTTCCATTACCACTCAGTGGGCAGGAGACATTTTTTTCCCCCGAGTAAGCTCCCAATTGGCCTTGTAAGGCAAGGCGGAGTCTTTCAAACTTGGTTCCTCTAAACTGGCCAAAGTAGCAGCTTCACAGTTGTTCACCTGGGCTTGTCCTTCCCAGCCCTGTCTGCAGCCAGACTACTATCACTGACGGTCTCCTAAGTTATCAGCACAGTAATTCTAACCTTCAGTCAGACTTTGGGATCCTTCCACTAGGGTCCCATAGGCACAACTATGAATGCCTTGGAAATGTCAGCCTCCTCTCAACACAGCTTTGCTGGGAATACCCCATTCAAAAACACACAATCCCCATGTTCCCTCCCCACGGCAGCCAATCCTTCTGGATTCTCGATCCCAATCTAGGAACGGGTCACTTAACAAACGACAGACAGATAGCATTTAATTCTACCTCCCTCTTAGACACATCTCATTCACCGTAATGCAAACTGTTCTTTCTTATTCCAGATGGTCACACGGGCCGAGTGAAAGCCAGGGTCCCCAGCTCAAAATCCAAAGCTTGTGTGGTGTGTTCTCTGGAACTAACTTAAAAGGGTTATTCAATTCAGCTTACATCATCTGATCCACTTATTTAGCAATGTCTAATTTCCTGGTGATTTCCCCCGCCCCAGCATTCTCGGAGAATTGTTATACTATACTGTAAAACAATGGAGAAAACTATTTTATGTCAAAATTGATTACATAAAATGTGTCTGCTACCTAGCTTAGTCAATATCCACTAGACTCACACAGAGACCCCAAGGGGCACCTACCCACAAACACCCTGATTCATAGGAAAATTTTTTTTAAAATCTTCCAAAACAAAAACCTTTCTCCCATTGTAACTAAACGAGATTTGCTTTCAGCGAAATAACTGCGAGCGCTGAGAACTCAAGAGGCACACAACTTGTTGCAACAATCAGTGCTCGGCCGCAGCCTGAACAAAGCGCTACAAATAAGCTCCAGAAAGCCACAGGGCCCCCGGAACAAAATGTGTGTTTGTGATTACACTCAGCAACGCTCACTCAGCAGCCCCTCTCCAGCCCAGCACCCTCCAGGGCTCCCGTTCTCAATCTGGTTTCCATTCCAGCCCCGCCCCCTTCCCTTCCCTTCCCTCTGTGGGACCGAGAATCAAACCCATCCCGGGCAGGAAACCGGACCAAAGCAGCCCCCCTCCGCGGTAGCCAAACAAAGGAGCTGCGCGCAGCTGCACGCGCGGGGAGCCCCGTCGGGTCCTGGGCCCCTTCCTCCTGCTGCTGCCGCCGGTGCACGCCGCACCTGAACCCCGCTCCCCTGGACGCCCCATTGTTCTCCCTCCGCTCAGCTTCCCAGAGGAAGCCACACGGTGTCCCCTCCATTGAGCCTAGGGCCAGGAAACAGCTGTGGACCAGAGGGATGAAGGAGGTATGGGTGGGCGCGAGGGAAACTGGCTTCTCTCAGTCTCCAGGTACCGAGGGGCCGAGGCAAAGTAAGAGCAACTTAGTTTCCAAGCCTCCCTCCCTCCGTCCCGCCCGCGCCTCCAAAGCCACTTCAGAGTAGCGACCACCCGGGGCGACCCACAGAGCGCGTGCCCAGGTTGTCGCGCAACGCCGCCCGGCTCAGGGAGCTGCGGAACCCGCTGCCCCGCGCAGGGCCGGGACACCGCGGCCACAAAGGCGCGGGCCGGGCCGAGCGGGAAGAGGGGGACGGGGCACAGGGAGGGGGGACAGGGCACAGGGAGAGCGGCCGCGCTACCTTGCCCGACGGCCACCCCGCCTTCGCGTCGGTCGTTCTCGCTGTCCCGCGGCCTCCGAAGTGCGGGGCTCTTGGCGGCTGCTGGCCCGGGCAGGCTGTCACGCGCGGCGACTCGGGTCTGCGCACCCCTGGCTCCCGCACCACCTCCGCGCCCGGCCGAGGCTCCGTGCACGCCGGGCGGAGAGAGCGTGGCGGCGGCGAAGGCGCGGCCACTCCCCTCTGCCGCGGGCGGAGGGCCGGCCGAGGGGCGGGGGCGGCGACCTCGCAGCCTGGGATTCGCCCCTCGGCGCACGCAGCACGGGAGCCGCCTTCCCCGAGCCTCTCACCTCCGGCCGCGCAGTGGCCCGCACAGCCGGCCGCACAGCGCCCCCGGGTGAGCGCGGGCCGCGCGCGCGGACCCCGAGGGGACGTGGGAGGAAGATCGAGCCCGCGCTGCGGGAGCCGTCCTCTTTGACCCTGGTCGCTCCCAGATTCACGAAATACAACGTTTGGCAGCTAAGAGGCCAGCCTGGGGGCAAATACATGCAAAGAGCTTTCCTCCTCCCCCAGATTAAAAAAGTTCAGATGCCCAAGAATAGCAGAAAATATTAATTTGCAAGAGAAAAAAAGCATGCCGGATGACGCAATGTGTCTTCACTTACATGTATCTATTAACCTACTTCATGCCACGAAGGCTAAGTGGACACTGGCCACGCCTCTAGTGAATATAGCGAATCCGCTGGCGTTGCGTAGGGACCAGTGGTATCACCTAGGCATGGTAGCGGGACCAGAGAACCCGGACCCTTCTCGCTTTAGTTACCCTCTTGCCACGTTGTAGAATTTAGAAGGAGCAACTTGACCCAGGTTCTGGTTTCCTCATCCTGGCAGAAGGAAGGGTGCTCATCCAAACTTACTCACTGGATGAGGTGAGGATTACTTGGCTGAGGTGTTAAAAGCACTGTAGACACGGTAATTATTACTCATGAGTCTAACTACTTTATCCTGTAATGAAATAAATTGCCATAAATGGGGCCAGGTTTAAATGGATTGACCTGTATCTGGAAACTGTCACTAAAATGAGGTGAACCAAAGAATTCACCCCATATGTAGTAACTCTTCCCACGGACATAAGACCTACAGGCACTGGGATTTATCAAATGCCACCAATGGAGTATGGAAAGATGAGACCTCCCTCCGCAGACTCTCTGCTTGGAACCATCACTGATGTCACCCTCAACAGCACTTCACATCTGCAGTCGGCATGATAATGGTCGCTGACACATTTTGAGTACCAGGTACGACTTCTGTTTAATCCTCACAAAAACCTGGAAAGTAAGATCCTTCATTATTTTTGTTTTACAGACCAGGAGATCCGAGGACAGGGAGGTCTTCCAGCTAATAAGCAGGTTGATGTTTGAAGACATCACCACAGATTCTTTGCCTCTCCTCTCATTGAAGATGGGCTGCTTTTCAACTTGACTGTAACTAATAGATTGCAGCAGAAGTGATGTTGTGACTCTTGAACCTACATCATAAAAGGAGATGAATCTTTCACCTGGCTCTTTCTTGGGACTCTACCCCTTACAGTGTCCCAAGAGAGCCCAGCTGCCCTGCTGTGAGGAAGCACTTGCCACACAGAAAGAAACGTGTGGATATTCAGGCTGATGGTGCCAGTGCGGAACTCAGGCCACAGCCAGTATCAACTGCCATACATGTGAATTAGTGACACTTTGAGAGGACTCCAGCCCTGTCATTGATGACCCACATCATATGAGACCTAGAGAGAAAACCCAGCTGAGCCAAGCCAGTCCCCAGAAACATAATCAATCCCAATAATAACAAAAGACTTGGGGCAGTTGTGAATAAAGCAGTAGATGCTTGGAACAATGGCACTGTGACTACAGTCACCACCACAATCCATCATGCACAGTCTTCAGGCCTTGACGACCTAGTACAATTAAGACGGTGGAGTCCCAGCTTTCACAGACAATAGACAGCGACATGTTTTAAAGTCATGGCTCCACTTTGTCCATCTTATTTTAAGTTCCTTTTCCAAAGGGTCTGCTTATAGCAGTTTGGCAGTCACAGAGCCTCTGACCTCTGCTAGCCGATCTAGCTTTTCAAAAATAGCAGAAATGCAGCTGGTCGGGTCACAAACACAAAATGTAAACAAGTGATTTGAAGAGTGGGAGAATTCTAGAACCTTTTGATCTTGGAGCTTGGCCAAATTTTAGTGAAGAATAAATTTGGGACAAGTATGTGCTGAGTAGGATTATTGACAGAGCTGTTTGGAGGAATGCTTTGCAGGTTCCTGCTTGAAGGTAAGGGTGAGGAACCTAGTTAGGTCAGAATAGTTCAACCTCTCCAAGACCTTGCACAGTGGGGAAACTGAAGCTTTCTTTTTGTTTTTGTTTTGTTTTGTTTTGTTTTTTGCCAGTTCAACGAAGAAAATAGTAGGGATAGTTGAATTTATCCTAATAAACCCTGAGAAAATTAACCAAGAAACTATTTGAAAACCAAAAAAATGTTTCTAGAGCAAAGTCGCTCTTCTCTTTTTCAAAATACCATTAACCCAGTTTTCACAAATTTCAAAATCCAAAGTTCTGAATACATACCATGAGGTTTTAAAATACCTTTACCTCCCTGGCTGTTCTTTTCAAAAATCAACCAGCAGCTTTTAAATGTAAGAAAAACAGATTCAAGTTGTTCTCAAGATTGTGAAGAACAGATAAACCCATCAGCTACAAAGGCATTTTTTACTTTCTCCTCAGTCTTTTTGGAGGAAATAGAATTTATGAAGAAGTAGAAAGACTATTATTATGGGTTTATGGTGAAAAACATAAATTATCAAATTACAGGAGTAAAAGAACATAAGTGTGCTTTCCTTCAATTAAAACACACCACGACTTAAATTAAAACAGTTGAAATCTTGCTATTCTTGTGGAAAATACAGAAAAAAAAGTGTTACAGGAAGAGAATTGCTACTGAGAATGTAGGGTTTTTTTCCTCTTAGTTGTTATTGCTTAAGTTCTCAATTTTTTGTTTGTTTGTTTTTGTTTTGATTTTTGGCAGCACTGGAGTTTGAACTCGGGGCCTCACACTGGCTATGCAGGCATTCATCACTTGAGCCACTCCACCTGACCTTTTATGTAATGGATTTTTTTCAAGATAGGGTCTCAAGAACTATTTGCCCCAGGCTGGCTTTGAACCAAGATCCCCCTGATCCGCTGCCTCCTGAGTAGCTAGGATTACAGGCATGAGGCACAGGCACTGGCTAAAAAATTTTTTTGAAAACTTCAACTTTAAGGAAAAGACCAACAAAAGAACTGTTGCTGCTTCATTTTGGTGTTAGAAATAGTGGAGTGGATATCAAAATTTTGCATCTTTTCCTTGTTCCTGTTTGCAGTTAGCCTCTCAGTTTGGGGCAGAAGGCTCTACTCTCTCCCTAGGTATTTTTATCTACCTCTAAATTTCTGTTTTTGCCACATTTTCTTTCCTCACCTACCCACCCAAATGCTTTGTTTTCAGTGCTCACCTGTTCCTGGCTGTGAGCCTAAACAGGACTTGCTGTCTTTACTGTGGTAACACCCTGATATTGCATCCTGGAACCTATCAGTCACTCCCAGTTATGAAAATTCTTCTACTTATGCTCTCGTAAATATTTGGCCTGTCAAGCTAAGATAGTGGGCCTCTAGATGAGACCAGTCAGTCTGAAAACACCAGGCCCATGGAAAGAAGAACAATCTTATTTGAATCCCATAAGCGATCTCCTGCTCCAGAAATGAAAGAGAGGAAGAGATAGAGCAAGGGAGGTAGGGAGGGAGGGAGGAAGGAAGGAAGGAAGGAAGGAAGGAAGGAAGGAAGGAAGGAAGGAAGGAAGGAAGGAAAGAAGGAAGGAAGGAAGGAAGCAAGCAAGGAAGGATGGATCTTAGAGAGCTTACTCTGTCCTAGACAATACATGCTGGTAAGCTCATGTAACCCTCCTACCTGCCCAATGAGTAGGTTATCATTATTTTAGAAGTGATAAAACCTAGAGAAAAGGTGGTTACTTGCCTGAGGTTACATAGTAACAGCAGCGCAGGATGCAAATCCAGTTATTCCAGAGCTCAATGGTGTCCCTCAGGGTTTGCTTCCTCTCACCTCAGTGGGCATTTAATATACAAACTTTTTCTCTTTTGTCTCCTTAAACAAATATCATCTTATTTTTAATATAGATCTTACTTTTCAATAGTCTTCCAAATGCACTAAGCATGGAATTAGCTATTAGTTTCATATAAAAGAATTTTTTTTTTCAACACTGGGGATCCAACCTAGGACCAATACTCAACAAGAGCAGCATCCCCAGGCCCAAGAAAATCTGTTTTATATATGTAAAGAGTGCTTTGAAAATAAGTGCTTATTGCTTCATATGTTATTTGAGGGCTGCGGGTGTGGTTCAAGTGGCAGAGCACCAGCTTTGGAAGTTCAAACCGAAGTCCCACAAATAAATAAGTAATTAAAGTGTTATTTGAAACTAAGATTATGTATTTTTTTAAAATATCTTTCTACAGCATTGCAGCCTCTTAGAGTCAGCAGCAAAAACACAACTCTCACCTAAGTATTTAAAACTCTACAGATAAGTTACATGACAAATATCAGAGGGTAAAAAGACTGATGGACTGAAAGACTGATATTCTGTAGGAATTTCTCCTACAGAAAAATTCACTAAAGCTTTTTGATGGTAAAAACAGAGGAATCCAAAGAGCTCACTAATCCTCTTTGTAGGTCCTAGATTATTTGAAAATCAAAATTCTTTACATATATATAAATGTAATTGAGGACTAAAATCAGGCAATGGAACTCACAGTATAATTTTTTTTCCACAAAATACATTGTCTAGGTTTAGATTACTCAGTCTCAAATAAATTATAGACCCATCCAGGAAATTTAAATTGCCTGAATTTTTTCCCTTGACATTTTATAATGTAGCATTTTGTCATTTCTGCTAGTAAAAGAATTGTCTTTTTTTATTTCCTCTCAATCTGTGACATGTTAGCACTATTATAGCAAAACCTTGCTGTGAAACAATAAATCAATCTGAAAAATGACTAGACTTTTTTCCAATCTTTTTAAAAAATCATTTTCATTTTTCCAGTGATAACTAGGAAGCTTGTCATTTCGTTGCTGAGGAGATCCAAGGAGGACTGTAAGGAAAAGCAGATATGGCAAGGGAAAAAATACT